CCTCCGGCACAGCTGCTTCGCCAGGCTGCAAATGTGACTCCGGCTCATATTCCAATTCGTCCGGAGAACACGGTTTGTCGTCGGCAATAGCTTGCTTTGCGGGAAAAACAAACGTCTCATCAAGCAGACTGAACTCATACTGCTTGACGCGGAGGGGATTAATGTCACCCGTCCGCAACTTGTCCGGCAAATTCTTGAGCGGCAATACCAAAATTTCATGCGTGTAGGTAAAGCCAGGTTGCACATGATAGCCAACAAAAATGCCGACATCCGAAGTTGGCAGAAACTTGGACTGCTTCGAATCGACGCGCTGACGATTGATCCAGTACAACAATTTTGCACCGAATGGGATCTTCGTGTCAGGAAACTCATCACCAAAACGCAAAGCCCACGGCGACTTGTCCTTGTCATCTGGAATTGTAACATTGAGAGCAAATGCATGATGTTGAGCTGCCAAAGGCCAAAGCTCAACCGGCAAACCACTTTGAAACAGATTTGCTCTTGCTCCCTCCAGAATTGTACGAATCTCGCGCTCGATCACCCCGGAAGATTGACTGACATATGGCTGGCTCAGCACGTGTCTCCAACCCATACTCTTTACTGCAGCTGCAATTTCGCCAGAATTGTCAGAATAGAAAATCCCAACATGATCATCTGGCTTCGTGAAATGTTGAAATGCACGAACGCAACTGTCAGCATCTTGCCTTGCTGAAGGGTAAAAATACCGGAACTGCGTGAACACATCTTTCACGACCAAAGCATTCCACTCGCCCTTGAACCCGTACGTCTCATCAATTGAAATGACGTGGTCAGCAGTCACATGATCTCCAAATGCTTTTGCATCCACCGAAGAAGATCCATGTCTGCGACGAGCCTGAGGTGCTTGCATCTTTGATCGCACACACGTTTCGCAAAAGGGGTTCTTGGGCCTGTGAGTGAAAAGATGCTCTTCACTTTTGGCCTCACGCATCATCATTTCTTTTGAACGCTTTGACATCGGTTTTGGAGCTTCCGCAACCTCAGGGTTGTCCTCCAATTCCGGATCAAACTCCGGTTCCAGTGGTTCAGCTTCATCAGGGCGCAATGGAAACGATGCGGCATCCGGCGGAGGTTGCCCCCCGCTTGAAGATGAAGGCACTTCAACGCCCCCGATCTTCTGATCGAATGCAGCAAGCGCAACAGGCATAGCGGATTCAGAAGCTATGACCTCGCACTGATCGTCAACATACGGAACTCGCCCATCGAGCTTCAATATTACCGCTTTGCCGTCAGGTCGCACAAAGTACGGAGCACTGTTCTTTCTCCATACGAAATCGTACCCCTTTTCCAAACATCTTTGACCAACAGAAAGGACAGCTGGCGTGCTCGGCAAAACATACGGAGTGACGACCTCGTTCAACTGATCAATGGAGAAGTCCGCAATCTTGTCTGCACAAATTGATCCATTTGCTGTTGAAAGATTGATTGGAGTCAATGCAGGATTTATCTTCTTTTGAAGTGTAACTGCACGCTCAGAGTCAACCAGATCTTGTTCACTACCTGTGTCGACAATCCACTGACGAAGCCCTGCTGGTGCTGGCGTAGCAATATACTCCGGCACATCGTCAAGGTTCGTTTCATCATCATCAATCCAACAGCCAGGACAATACAAACCGCAATAAATTGGGTCATTGTCATCATAGTATTCGCAATAGAACCCACAAGGCGCGTTGTAGTTTGCATGCATCAAGTCAACAACCCCTTCCAGAATCAAAGCTTTGTCTTTAGCATCGATCAGATCCTTGGGATTTGAGCCAGGCGCACAACCATCATACCACACAACCTCAGGGTCATTCGGCTTTGGAGCACATGATAGGCATAGCCCGTTGGCCTCGATCTCGACGATCTCGACATTGTCTGCGAATTTGACGCATCTGCGGGTATTGGAAACATCTGTACTGCAAATGAAAATTGTTTGCCCAGTCCAGTATTGCTCCAAACCTTCATCAGGATCCGCCCAGAAATCACCAAACACTTGTTCTTTGCCATTGATGTTGGCTTTGGTGATGCGCTGATCCAATAAACGTTCCAGCGAAATCGGAAGGTCTTTTGCACTCTTCGGATCATAAAGCGCTTTTCGGGGCATCACATGGTGTCGAATGACCATCTCGTTCACCGAGTCAACTTCCCAGAAATCTTTCTTTGGGCGGCACGCTGCAAGGCATGCATTGGTCTCTTTCACCCTCAGACACACAGCGGCTGAGGACTCACCCTTTTTGCTCTGGGATCGCTTTCTCCCTTTTCCCTTTGGGGTGGGAGACCTACCTCTGCTGGCTCCTTTCTTTGGGCTCGGCTTATCTGTTGCTGGTGCAGCAGACCGAGTCTCATGCGAAAACGCACAGTTGTCTCCACGAGTGCATTTCCCCTGACCGCCTTTGAAAAACCTGCACGGGATCTTTTTCAGCTCCGCTCTCTTTATCGATGCCGACCGATCCCTGTCTCTCCCCTGGCTGTCAGAGCGCCCCCGACCTTTTCCTTTCGGATTTTGGCTCGGGGGTCTTGGGTCTTTCTCATGCTTGTAAATGCAATTATCCCGAGTGCACTTGCCTTTCTGAAAATCGTAGCAATACCTGACCGCTGAAGGATCTCTTGCACGCCCAGGATTTGCATTGGGAGCTGGAGCACCGACCTTCTGATTGTGAGCTCGAGCGACACGATCACGATTTGACTGCAATCGCTCCCGAGTCAAAACATCACGAACGGCTTGAACAAGAAACTCGTAGCTCTTGTCATACGACCCATCTTTTGCACGCTCGTATGTATCGAGGTCATACTTGATCTTGTGACATCCACGAATCTGTCGCAAGAAAATGTCCTTCAAGACGTGCTGCTCCGGAACGATCTTCATGCCAGCAATGACGGAATCCCAATTCTGAATAAAGGTCATCAAATCATTGCCGTGAAGTACCACCTTCAACAAATCTTCAGTGGAATACAACGCTCCGGCCTCCTCATTTGTCCTGAAATACTGCTCAAACATGAGAAGAACTTGACGTCCACGGACAACTTTGTCCAAAGCAGCTTGTTGCTCCTTGTATGTAAGGATCTGCCGACTAAGGTCGCCCCTAGCAATCCGCGACAAGGCTGCAAGAAGCTTTGTATCCAACGTTTCAAACTGCTCTGGATCTCCAAGCTCTAGCATGAGATTCTTCTTGTCCTCCCGGTTGACGTACACCTTGTTAACCCAGGTGAATGCAGCGTCAGGCCGATCTGAAGCAGCCCGAATCTCTTCGCGAGTAGCCGTTTTCCAGGCTCTATAGATCTCAGGAGTGGGAAACTCACTCAGCCTCAACGAATCATCATCGTGCTGATTCCGGACAAAGCCGAGGAGGGCCGCACGGAACTCCGCCTCGGTGGTCTCGGGACCAGTCAACCGATCAATGTTCGGCTGACTTGTCGGCTGATTTTGCTGACTTCTGCTGTTTTCTTGCTCCGAAGACCGTCTCGCATGATCTTTGATATCAAACTGCATTGCACCAGAAATAGGATCAGTCCAACTCTGCTGTGGAATAATCTGAGGCATAGTTCCAGAAGTTTGTGCATTCTGCGTTGGAAAAAGACGCGGATCATCAAAGATACTGCCCCTCTTATCCAAAAACGACTCCGAACTGACGTTCTGAAAACTTGACGCAGGCTGAGGATCTCCGCGCACCATTTCACGCTGCGCCTTTTCGAGATCGTTCCTCAGACGCTCAACGGTGTCGTTCAGCCCGTTGATCGTGTCCTGCATGGCGTGGTTCTCCGCCAAAATACTGTCTCTCTGCTCACCGACCGCCTTTCCGAGTTCTCCATCACAACAGTCTCAGCATGTAAGCTTTGTGCGAAAGCGCTATACTGTGCCGTTCTTTGCGACACAGCTTCGTTCACTTCGGCAGAAATTGCTCCCCGCATCTGGCTAACCTGGGCGCTGAAGAAAGCGCGGGACTCTGCGAACTGCTCGTGCAGCTCAAGGGTCCGGCGGTTGTTCTCCTCGTCCAGGCGATGCACAGTTTCCGCCAAATGAGCGCTATATTCCGCCCTTGCAGCATCCATAGCAACGCGATGTAACGTGTTGGCCTCTTCCCTAACAGCGTCACCCGTGTCGTTATGCGCATGCATGATGTTCTGGGTGGCTTGATAGTTTGTCGCGAATCCGAATACGTTTCGAGGATCGCGAGGGTCGACAGGACCATTGGGTGCAACTGCACCTTCACTACCGTCACCAACATCTCCAGATATATTGTAAATGGCAGGCATATCTCCGGATGCCATGGCGATCTTTGTACAAGCCTTTACGGCTGATAACCTGTGTTATCAAGCCTAGGCCACCTAAGGGAATACCTAGGCAAGCAGCAAACCGTTGACTACCTTTTCACACTGCTGTCAGTGATCTTGAAGTCTGTAGCGGCGGAGCATGTACAAGTACACTCATGCACAGGGTTGGAACCTGAATCCACAGAACGGTTGCCCAAAGCAAACAAACACAACGACCCGTGTGTTCCGATCATCGTTTACGGTTCGGAACCCTGCCAAAGATAACAGAGTAACAAAGAAACCAAAGGCGCTTAGGGATGAAAACTGGCACAAAAGCAATTGAACCTACTTGAAACCAGTTTGGCTCCATCGATCTTTAAGCAAACTGCCCCAGGAAGAAGCATTTGTTGCCAAGGGTTGAAAATAATCCGTTCCCCCTCAGAAAGGCCCTCCGAATTACCACAAAGAATAGCCCAGATTGAGACCAATACTGAACTTGCAATTTCTCCCACCGGCCTTCCTTCCAAGCACCCTTTTTTGGAAGAACACCGGATTGAGTTGTTTGGCACAAAACCCCATCTGGAATACGCGTGACCTCCCCTACCAAGGGGAACAAAAAATAGACTGGACACCCCAAGCCTGGAACTGGGCACCGTTGTTGCTTTTACCAAAACCTGTTGTGTTTGGGGGGGTTACGTAGGATTTGGAGCTCCAAACCTTTCGCAGGTTTACCGCTTGGGGCTGGTGGTGAGTGTCCCCGGCACAGATCCGACGCAGCACCTGGCCAACTTAGGACAGGGCCTCCAAATGCAGCGTCCACTTTCAGGCCGGGCCAATACCCATGCTTTTATTAAGTGGCCATCAGCCCTAGCCTGCCAAGAACTGTTTCCGTTCTCGCCAAAAACTCGTTCCCGCAGGAGTGATTTCTGGAAACGGATCAAAACTCGCAGGCCGCCTTCCAATTTGAGTGGTCTCCAAAGGAGAGATCGATCAGTTCGAGTGGCTCTCTCGACACTTGAACTCAAAGTCCAGGTGGCAAAACCGGGGACCGTTGCTTTGGGGGGCCCGCCAGCTGCGATGTCAATGGCCCAGGCGCTGAAGGTACCGTTACACCCGGGCACTGGGGGGTGTCTTCGTTGGCCGGAGACGCCCCTGCATCCTCAAAGGTTCCATGACGATGCACCAGGGTAAACCTGATGCTCAGCACACACACACACACATGTTGGAACATGAAAGACTACACATGGAACATCCAACTTGCTACTTGAATCTGAGCTGCACTTCCCGCAACCCCCCCCCCCCTCTCTTTGTAGGATCCTTCCGTTGAAATGCAAAAACACGGAACGGAATTGGGGCGGTTTCTCAATTGATGCACCTTGGACACTGCCAGTCACCACAGGCTTTCGACCGGTCTGGTGGATCCATGTATCGTTGGGCAGCGTGCAGGATGGGCCAACAAAAATGGGAAGGGCGTTCAACTTTGGGAAAATGGGCATGTGTCAAAATACGAAGCCCCACGAAATGGGCTTCGGTTTTCCTTCTGCCCTGAAACCCCGAAAAGGGCAAGCCTCAAAACCCGTACCCTTTTGATGTGAGGCTAGGTCTCAAAAAAGTTGAACCCCCTTTTGGATGGTTTCAAAGGCCGAAAGGAAACCTAGTTGCAATCCACTTCCGAAGGCAATTCCTCTCCTTCGCGCGTGGCTTTCCATGGGGGCACGAAATTATCCAATCCATGTAAATCTACATTCTCCAAGAGAGGGAACGAGGACCCCCCCCCCCCCCCGCCCGCCCCGGTTTCCCGTAGTTTTGCATAATGTGGGGGGGTTTTGGTTTACTTTCGAAATTTACGGCTTCCGCCGTACCTTGGCCGAGGAACAGCATAAGATATATATATATATATATACCATTGTATACGGATTATCTTATAATACATATAATATAGAGTGCCAGAGTCAGCCTTATATTTAGCCTACGCAACATGTACAAACATAAATTTGGAGAAGACCCCATGTACGAGTTTCGAGCCACTCAAAACTATCACAACCACTGATGCTCTAGCACCTTAAGCACCTTTAACTTTCAAAGTCGTTGAATACGGAATGCGTTTGCTCTTTTCGACGAGTAATATGTTATATTGTTCCATCAAGTTGATTGAATCCGCCAGCAGAGTTGGGGTTCCCATACCCCCAAAATCGTGGTTTCACGCACCCACAGGCATTGCCTTCGACCTGACTGACAGGGAGGAGCACTCTTGTTGGGGGTTCTTGATTGGACAAGGTGTCCAAACAGACCTGGGCGTCTCCATGGCCCTACCCTTGGGCTCCCTGCTGGCCAGCATGAGTGGGCTAAGGCCGCCTTGCTCCTGCGGGAAACAGCTTGGATGTTCTGCCAAGTTAGTGTGCTCAGCCAATCGGAGTACAACTCCCTGATAACAAAATTAACCCCTGGGCGAACTTATGAGTGTCTAGGTTGCCAACAGAATACTAACTTGGCTCCCTTTTTGCTCAGAAAGCTTTTGTGTCCATAGGCCTTGGGCTCTGGAGTGGTTCGGGGCCGCATTTTTGTGGGGTGCCAGAAACGTTCCGGGGGCTTCCGATGGCCTTCCAAGGGAAGTCCCCATGAAGACAGGAGGCGTAAATTGGTGTGGCTAAAAATTGAAGAGCTAGGGTTACGCAGGTTTTAGTCTTTGGTTCCATTTGCCAAGGGTGCCATTTTGGTAGATCTTCTCCACCTCCATGACTGGGGGTGCTTGTTCAAAAAAGCACGCCAAGCGGGGCATCTTGTGAAGGATCCAGGGAAACTAGGCAGGTGTTCAACAACTACGAGGAAATCTATAGAGTTGGGTGCTAATAAATTGAAGGTCTGAAAAAGTAGGTCCCTTGGAAACTTCGAAAAACAAACATGTGGCCTTGTCCGCCGGAAAGCAAGCCTTCAAAGCACACCAAACTTTTGCTAGTGATGTCCATCTCTGTTCAATCACAATATCACAATGGCCAAGGACGAAAATGCCAAATTTGATCTACAAGGAGCCTTTGCCAGCAAAGAGAGACCAAACGGACACCGGGCCCCCAAAAAGGTTGGGTGACCCTGGATTCTTCCATAACAATGCTTGTTCTAGAATAAATACACTGATTGCTCGGCGGAGCCCGTGCGGGAAGGAACCCGTTTAACAGGTCTCCCGTTGAAAAGCGGCTCAAGCGCAGCAATTCGCAAAGTGAGCCTCTTCCGAGCTGAAACCAACCTTGCAATCCTTGAGCAAACTTCGGTATCTTCCAGCCAACAAAAACTGAACAGAGCCCTTGGGCCTCACATGGGCAAGCACCGCAAGGGACCCAAAGCTCCCAAAGGTGCCCGAGGCCCTGCGCAAGATCCGGCCGAACCTCGTTTTTGGCCGAGCGTCCAAATGGTGCAGCGTGGTGTCCAGGTTGTAGCGCTGCAGAAAGTCCTCCAAGCTCTCCTCCTGCGGGTCAAGTGTGTCGTGTTCTTTGGCGGGGACCCGCCCTTGTTTGGTGGGTTGGCGGGTTTCGGAACCCAAAACAAGCAAGGCGGCTCTATTTTCAGAAAGCCTCATCTGAAGAGAAACTACCCATGCATCTTTGCGCTTTTGTCAACCAAAAGTTCTCGGATGCTCTGCTTCATATTTGGTGAACCTTGAAATATAACAACATGTCGAAGGAGACCCAAGCTTAGATGGCTACAACCTTGTCACGTTATGCCGAGTAAGGTTTTTCCTCTTTGGCCAAGCCAACACAACCATTTTTCCTGCAAACAAAGGTGAAACAAATGCGCTTAAAAGCACACGTTCTTTTCTTGTCAAGGTCCTGAAAGCCCCCTTTTAGGTAAGAGCAACCCAGCAAGCCTCCCCGAAAGCGAGGCTTCGCTCTGGCGAGGCTTCGAAACCGCCGAAGCAATTGTGACTCGAACACTCGATCCACTCGCATCGATCAGCATCGATCCGCTCCGGCGAAGGTTCAACTGTTATTTTGGTCCCAGCCAAGACGAAGAGAACACATGGGTTCTCAAAATGTAGGGACCTCCAAACTAGTTGCTTTGCCCTTCAAAACCAACCAAAAGGGCTTCCCGATCTAAAAAGACAAGCCCAAATCAACTCCAGCCATCTAGTTTGGTCTGAGCGCCTCCTGCATCGGGGGGTGCCCCTGCGCACGAGGGTGCAGCGCTTGGTAAAAGCGCCACCCTGGCATGTTGCCTCAGTGCGCGGAGATGCGAAGCAAACCACCTGAACCCTCAAACTAACCATAAAACCGGGCGATTGCCGCAACATGATGGGGTGATTTAAGGGTAGTTTCAGGGTCCTGGCACATACCCCAACTCAGAATGCCCACTTGGTCATCATGGGGGTTGGGCATATGTTCAGGCGGGGTCTATGGGGGTGTCTATGGCAGGAGCCCGGGATCCCAGTCTAAAGTCTTATTGAGGGGTTGATAAGACCATGGCGCCCTCATATTAGATTCCAAATCCTGTTGAACGCCTTGCCCTTTATTATACGGGGGTCGCAAAAGAGTGGGTTGATTCTAGGCAAAGCTCCTGTGTTTTGTCATGGCTCCCGTAACAGGAACCTTCAAGAGGTTGATGACCATCCCTATCCTTGGTTGCTGTTGACCCTCTGCACTCAGTTTTTTACTGTTTCAAAGGAAAACTCTTGATTTTAGCCAAAAGTTAAAGTCTAAAGATCCAACCAATAGCAACCAAGCATCAAGCCCCAAAAGGATCCTTGGATTGCCAAGTCACGCCTCAGCCACAAGGAGTGGCATTTGATCAAGAGCAGGTCCTTCGTGAGCTGCTTCACTTTCTCGCGATCCGCCTCGGACTTCGGATTCGGTTCTAATCGAAAACATGGCGCAGAAAAAAGGGGTTCTTTGGTAGCTGCTGAGGTGTCATTTATTTCATTGCTATTCCTTTTGTTTGGAGGGGGGAGAGGATATGTACCAAGTTTTCGTTTGGGGGAGGATATAAGAGTAGCTATCCCGCTTGTATGAAACAGAGCAAGGTTTGTTCAACAGCCGTCCAATGTGTGTGTGTGTGTTGCAGGTGTTGGGGGCGAAGCCACCAATTGGATACTAAAAAAGCAGCAACCAAATACTAGAACAGGACCATGAGGGAAGAACTGGAATCCACAAAGGCGCATCCGAGATGGCTGGCGTGGGTAGTAACCCTACCCTAGTTGCAATTTACAGGTTTATTGGGGTCTTGACTCAGGACTACCTGGGGGTTAACAAGGGTTTGGGAGTTGCCAATGACAAAGCGATTCGCCCGGGTATCTACAGCAAGCGGGCCAGTCCAAATCAGCCACTCTCACGAATTCGAGTGGACACGGGCCCAGAATCGAATGCAAATTTAATGAGCCAGTTGCACCAATGACTCCACCTGAATCCTGGATGCCGGGATTTTGGGCCCCGAAATCTCAAACGTGGGCTTCCCAGCTTGAGAAAGCGCGCGCCGTTTAGATATTCGGGGATTCCTCACTGGCCTTGGGAATCACTCGCTACTCGTCACATCCGAGTGGAACGCATTGCCAGTGATCCCTGGATCCAGTCCAGCGCGAAGGCTCCGGAGCAAGTGAGAATCCCAGTTACGAAGGAATCCTGAAGAAAGCGTAGACTAAGCGCACGCCTGCTAAGTGCATGTTACCATAGCAGGTAACCAATTTCTTTTTACCATATTTTATTGGGCGGTGTCCCTTACTATTGGGATCACTGTGTCCACACAAACCAGGGTGTTCGACATGTTCCCTACTTGCACCGAGATTTACTTTCTCGCTCCTACTTGGATGCCCAACTCACTTCGTTGGCGGTTTAGATGCTTCCATGCCAACCACCCCCTGGTGTCCTAACAACTCTAGCAATGGTTCTGCCCTACTTCCCTACCCTGACTTGCACACCCAAGAAGCGGCTTAGAAGATGCACTTTCCGCACCAAAGAGAACTGGCAACTACGTGGATACACATCATACATTGCTTCCCTGGCACTCCCTTTCCATAGGGATGTATGCCCACTCTAGTCTTGATCGGCCCAAATCTCGGGTAGCAACGAAATATGTTGAAAACATGTTTCATACTTAGTCAACCCTCAAAAGCAAGCAATGCTTGGAGGAGACCCCAGTTTAGGGGGATCTATCCTTACCCACCTTTTTTGGGATGTTCTTCGTTGAATGACTCATACCCACATATTCTGCGGATCGCGTGCTGGCTCCCCTCAAGAACCCCAGTCCTCCACCGTGAAGTGACCTTCACCTGGCCAAGAGATTCTTGAAGATTGTCACCCACAAGCCACTAACCCACTAATTATATGGCTGCTAACCACTATATAGCAGCCATAAAAACTACGATATATATATATATGGTACAGCGTTGCCAGCCCCCCCCCCCCCCTCCCCCCCAATGGTCATGGGTCAGACAAGTACCCCCCCCCCCCCTGTGGTTGTGGTCCTGTGGTTGGGTTGTGGTGGTTTAGGGTTGGTTTAGAATTGGTTTAGGGTATATTTAGGGTGTATTTAGGGTTAGTTTAAAGGTTTAGGGTTGGTTTATGTTGATTTAGGGTTGGTTTATGTTGATTTAGGGTTGGTTTAGGTCTAGAGGTGTACGGTTTAGGGTTTGGTTTAGGGTTTGGTTTAGGGTTGGTTTAGGGTTAGTTTAGGGTTGGTTTAGGGTTGGTTTAGGTTTAGGGTTTAGTGTTTAGGGATTGGTTTAGGGTGTATTTGGGGTTAGTTTAGGGTTGGTTTAGGGGTAGTTTATGTTGATTTAGGGTTGGTTTAGGTTTAGAGGTCTACGGTTTAGGGTTTGGTTTAGGGTGCATTTAGGGTTGGTTTATGGTTGGTTGCGGGTTGGCTTGTCCTGGGGGTGGGGGTGCCGGGGTGTCGGGGTGCGAGTTCAGGGGGTCGGGGTGGGGGTGGGACCGTAGGTGCCAGGATCCGGGGGCTCGGGGTCTCGGGGGGGGGGGGGGAATTCCTGGGGGACCCATACCATATGGGGGGGGGGGGGTAGCAACACGGAACACGGGACCATATATACCCAGTTTTGTCCCGAGGGTAGCGGCTCGGGGCTACTGGAAACCGTCTTAGTTTCGACGTTTCCTGCGTCTCATGTGGAGAGACTCGAGATGCGTTAGTTTCCGATCGGCGGGAAAGTGGGGGGGAAAGGGAGCATTGCTGCCTCAGCTTTGGCGGTGTTCAAGCTACCTAGCAAGTAGCTTTTAACCATGGTCGTAAGGGGACTAGCCCCAGTTGCCCCAGTTATAACGCCTCTGACATCTGAATATCCAAACGTCTAAGGGTATGGTTGGAATCCACAAGAATTTATCAAATAATATCAACAGAGACCCCTGTGTTCTGAACAGGCACCAAAGAGCTGTGAGAAGATACCCTCCTTTTTGTATTCCCAAAGTGGCTGCTTATCCCTGCAACGATTGAACGTCACCTGGGCGATATCCTTGCTCCAGATCCCCGATGAATGTCCAGGGGGGAACAAGCGCACCGGTTTGTTTGGTTTGTTTGTGAAGAGGATTCCCCACAAAGTTGAAAAAAGCAACGGGGGGAAGAAAAACAAACGGAACGTTTGAGCGGAATTCAGACAACTATTGTTGGATCCACCAGGAGCCTTGTTCCTCCGGGCAAAATCACCCAGTGGCCCTGGTGGAAAACGGAACCCTCTAAGAGAGTCGAGGAAAGAAAGAAAAAGACCATGCCAGGGTTAGTTGAACTGGGCTCAACACTTCGCAGTTCCGCACACCCTTTTCACTTCCAATAGGAACTCAGAGCAAGAGGAGCCATTGGATTATAGTCCTGAACCTCAGCGGCCCAAAGGACCCAGAAATAAACGCTTAAGCTTTGGAGGCCACAAGAAACGGGCCAAACTTTGTCGGTTCGCTTTGGTCAAATGAGCAATACCCCCCAATAGCTACTATCCGTCGCTTACAGTCACTAGGCTGCAATGTCTCGCCTTGCCGCAAAAAGCCGCCAGAGCTGGACAGGGATTTCCCATGGTCTATTCTGCGAACTCCTAAAAAAGCATCCATCCGGAAAAAGGGGGTGCGAAAGTGTGCCCCAACCATGTAACGCTTTATCGCTGGGCTTGTATATATATATATATATATATAATAGTGTTTGTTGATACTGTTTGGTTCATTTGTGGTGTTGTGTTTGGAGAGCATACGCAGGGCCACCTATTTTTGTTGCTATTGAATCTATTGAATCTATGCACATTTGAAACCCGCAGATTGCCTGGCCATGCTCGCGCCCACTCGTTGCCGTTGGACACGAGGATGGAGGTGGGGCTGGAAATGAACTCGGAATGCGCGTGCGCGATAAAACGCAACTGTCTGGACCCTCAAGCCACCCTTAAAAAAGGGGACATCACACCAACCATCTCTTTGTTTTGGGGGGGGCAACAACCCAATACTGTGGATGGACGAAATCCTGCACCGAAGAAGCCCTGGAATGATGACTCCCCTGCAAATACCACCAAACAATGGTTTCCCATGGTTTCAAAGTGGTGCGAAGTGGATTTCGCAACCATCCACAGGATGGTGAGCTTGGTAGCGGACGTTTGCAGCCGGCTTTTACACCAACATTGGACTCCCTTGGACCCCTTCAGGTGAGCGGAAACGAAACACGAAAGACAGACACTCCTTCAAAAGCACCGAGCCACATAGGAAACCCCAGGACCAAGTTTCCATTAGCTGATGGAATGCTGTGTTCTTTTGTCAACAAAAGAGCAAAGACCGGGACCGGATCGAACATGTCAACACCTTTTGTTTACGCAATCTCCTTTTGATTCCCTGAAGGGACAACCCAGGATTGTTGGTGCAAAGTTTGCCCACCCCCGTCTCCTCTTCGAAAAGCACGCCAAGGATTCCCATGGAACTTGGTGAGAGCTGTCAGAGCATCTCTTGCTCAACCGCCCCCCCGGCAAGTGCTGAATGCTTGAAGGCATCCAAGCTCAGGGTTCTTCAACCGGACACGCAAACGAATCCAGGTTCTTCCCTAGGTCCTCCAGTAGAGAGGTTAGAATAAGGGCAGCCTTTTTTCTGTAATCTATTTTAGTAGGGGGACCCCTTCCCCCAAAAAAAGGGGGGTAAAAATAGGGCACCACTGGGGGACCTAGTTCCTTCCAAACTTGGCCAAGCGCCAAAAGGATCTCCGTCCAAGGCGCCATCAGCTGCCCCTCCCTCTGCGACAGAACAAAGGCAGTGCGCTCCGCGCGGCACCAGCCTGCGTTTCCCACGTGGCCCTTCTGGGCCAACACGGAGCGCCGGACAGGGCCGGGGCACGCATTGCTTTCCGTTTTGCTCTTTTTTTGGGGTGGGGGGGGGTGGGGAGGGGGGAGAGAAGTCCTGTTGTTTGCTATATTACTATTATCAGTATGATTACCGTCATTCTTATTTTATTTATTTGTTAATTCGCATTATTCTCCGCATTATCATTACTACTAGTATTACTATTTATATTGCTGTTTCTACGTTTTTTAATAGTATCAATTGTGATTATTGTGATCATTAACAGTCCTTGTTGGGAGGCAACAATGTGGGGATAGAGCGTTTGTGTTTGTTTCCTTGCTGTTATTCTTGGAGGGTGCGACAAAGAGGGGACGTGGTTGTGTTTGTGTTGTTGCTTTCGCTTTTCTGGCAGTGGTTGACATAGAGGGAACGTGGTCGTGCGTGTTTATGGTGCTGGGTGTTGGTTTGGGATGTTCTTTTGTGGAGAGTGCTGTGAGTGCAAACACTGTATTTCTTTGGAGGGGGGAAAATGTCCCCGTTCAGAAAAAGGGGGGCATCAAAGTAAGTCCGGATGCGAAAATGTATGCTGAAAGGCAACCTCTCGTTTGCTCTCGTGTGGGCCTGATCATTTCCGTGCAAGGCCGGATGTAAGAATGGTTGTGTCTCAACAGTACGGACCTTTTGCAAAGAGGGGCTGGAAAATGGAAATGGACAAGCGAGCACTGCCAAACTCGAAACAAAAAGGTTGCACCAGGTTGCAGTCCTTTCCCTCTCTCCACGAAACGAGGAAGCGAAACCTCAGGGGCCTTTGTCGAATGAGGTCAGTAAGGGCTTTCCTACTGGGATGGGCTCAGAGAAAGTACCGGAGAAATCCAGATAAACTCTGGTCACGTTGGATCTCAGGGATGGGTGAAAAGCCAGCGCCCCGAATACATCGCCAAACCCATGAAGGCTTTTGGTCTTTGGCGGGTGAGCTGTGAGCCCGTTTCGACTGGGAACCTCCTTGCGAAACTCCCAAAGGTCAAAACGGGACTCGGTCCTTTGCTGGCTTCCCTCCATAATTTGGGTACCCGGACCCGCAAGCTGCGTTGATTACTTTTATATGGGGCATCACCTCAACGTTTTGAGAGAAATCTCCCACTTAGAATACTTCCCAGAGGCTCCTGTTACATCATCTTTGCCTACATTTGACCCAAATCACCACTGACAATGTCCACAGCCTTGGGCAACCCAACCACCAACCCACAAAAACGACAACTGTCCAAAACCATTTCCCCAAAATAGAAAAAGCACCAAAATAAAAGCACCAAGATGTTTGCCAAAATATAAGCACCAAACTCCAACCTCCAAAAAAGGTCCAACCATCAAGCCCCGGACGCCTCGCATGCCCCAGGTGCTTCGGCTCATCATCCGCCCCGAGTCGCTATGTCGCATCGTGGGTGCCAGCACAAAGACCTGAGACCCGTCGAATGGAACTCCTTTGTTGCTGTTGACCCCCCTGGAACAAGTTTTTAACTTTTTTTGGGGTTTAGTGGAGAACCCCATCCCTTGATTTCCCAAAAGCTAAAGTCTAAAGATCCAACCCAATAGCAGTTAAGGAACCCATGGTCCGAAAGTCGACCCTGAAAACGTCTCCGTCAACCCCGAAGCACCCAGGCACCGAACGGGAAAGCCAACGGGTTCTGGTTCGATTCCCCCCCAAAAGAAAAATGAATCGTTGTGGTTTCAACCAGGGTTTCAAAGTGGTGCGAAATGGATCTCCATCCACAGCAGCATTAGAAAGGACTCTCTGGAGGGGTCTTTGTTATTGACAAGGGTCTGTCTTTGTTTAGGGGACCCCCAAACATTGTGGTTTTCCTTTTGGGTTCCCTTTAAAACCACCAAACCGAGGGTCCCCTAAAAACGGCCCACACATATGAGGAACTGGACCTGAAACAAGGCCCTTTAGGTCCCAAGATTCTTAGGGCGCTAAAAGAGATGAAGATGGTGACATCCGAAGATAAGAAGTGTCCCCACTCTGTAAAACAAATAATTTGCACTAAACACAACCAGGGGGGCTGGTGATATTCTCAAAGCAAAACCCTCCAAATGAGCGTGTGCTGTTGTGAGGGAACCCTTTTATGTTGGTTTAAAGGCAATTCACTCATTCGAAGGGTTGCTTCCACATATGCACTTCACCCAGCAGTCTCTTTAGAAAGCACAAAAGAAAACATCTCCAGGAGTCTGGCCCATTGTTAGAGAAGAATCCCTGAACAGAATGCGGAAGTCGAAAGGACATGAGCTTCACATGCCCAAAAAAAACACCGCGGGCCCCAAAAAACGTGGAGGAGACCCCGAAAAAGAGCCGGAACTCGCGCTCGCTCCCCACGCTGCTCGCTGCATCTCTGGGAATCTCCGGGGCTCACACGCAGTCCGCCACGGTGCAGTACCTCTGGCTTTCGGCTTCGGTCGCGCTTTGGCACCAACTCAAGGCACTGTCAAAAAGTGCTCACTGTCCAAAAAGACCTGGCAATAAAGGTTAACCTTTGGGGGTCATGACCAAAACATGGACCTAAAAGGGGAAACCGAAGGTCAAAAGGTCGGCTTTGGCAACTGAGGGTGTGCAAATGTTGCCTTGCAACAAATCCTTGTAAATTTGGTGCCGGAACAATTTTCGGAGGCGGATCAAGAAGATGGTGTTCGTCTGGTTGGCAGGGTCAAGGGTGAGCCTGGAGAACATGTGTGGAAAAAGCGAGATCAAAGCTCGACTATTCCTGAACTTCAAAAAATATTGGATCTCCACACAAAGGACCTGCATCATGGTAAGCTCGCTTTACCTTCGGCTGAGCTCGCCATAAAATAGGCAGAAACAGAGCGGGACGGAGTCAAAATGGCATGTGACTCCCCGCTTCCAAACCAATCCACATCATCAACTATAGGGTTGAGGTCAAACTGGAAGCCATTCATCAGGTCGGGATATGTGTTGCAACCAACAATCATCACAGGGCCCTTCATTCAGGGACCTGACAAGCGGTTTGGCGCACTTTGATGAGTTGGGCTACACCCCCCCTTTTTGTGAGAAAATCCCAGGCCAATGGTTTCCTTTGTGGCCATCGAATGCCGTCGAAAACCCCAAAAAAAGCCAAAAGAAAGCCTGGCAAATGTTGATCCCTCCATCGACCAAACAGGTCCTTGTTCCACAAGTTTGGTGTCCAAACATCGACCAAACACTTGCAGGCCTTAAGGGATAAAGGAAACCAAATCAAGGATGGTTTTTCGGGGCCATTCCGTTTCTCAGTCCCTGCTGAGAACCAGCAAGACAAGGGCGTGTTGTGGTTCCCTATTTACGGGCAGAGGGGTTCGAAACCAACAAAGCCTCATGGGGAGTTGCTTGGAACCACATCTGCGACCAAGAGGCGGTCCGTACATGTCCGTACCCCCATTCCGCCCAATGCCCGGCCGTTTGGAAGGGTATGATGTCAACAAGACCAAATGAAGAATCAACAGATCGCCTGGAGAGGGCATGCGAGGCATCGGGCCATCATTTTTTTCCTCAAAGGACACCTATGTCGACGTGGGTGTCTCTCAGAATAGGACTCGGCTTCATTGAAGTACCAACCAAAGGGGAGTCGGTTCACCATGTTTACGTCCACAAAAACCCGAACCGGGTAAGCATGCGGCATCCCTTGGAAGTGACTTAAAGCCGCCTTAGGAATAGAACTTCCGCTTTGGTATCGCAGAAACGGTCATTTCCCAACCTTCAAGGGTAAGACAAGATTGGCAAAACACAGTCCCCAACCAGCGCCAGGTGGGCCATCTATTCTTTACCAGAAAACGAAAAAGGATACCTATGCACATGGCCCTCCGATTCGCCAAGCTGCGAAGGTATACTGTTCACCGCCGCCTGAAGTTCTTTGGCACCGTTGTCATAGGCTCGGTCGTCCTACGTGACGTCGTGTCGCAACTGAAGACCCATGTCCAACGTGGTTATATGGATTGAAATGGGGATGTGTTCTTTTGAGGGTGCCCTTCTTTGCATAAGTTTAAAGGGCACCAACATAAGGAAGCCACCTTATGCCACCTTTGTTGAGCCTCCGGTCTCTCTCTCTCTCTCTCTCTCTCTCTCTCTCTCTCTTTGGGCACATACCCAAATTTCAAAGGCCCCATGAAGGCGGGTAACATAAGGATCTTCTAAATGGTAGATAGGGGGTTTGGGCGCAGCTCCATTGGGCCTCCCATTCGCATCGCCTGATCTCTTGTAACAGGGTCGTACACATCTGACCCCTTGCCGCTAAATAGGGAGCCAACCAAAAATTAAAAAGGGACCTGGAGGAGACTGCGCTCAAGCATTCTGATTTCATAGAGAGCAACTGCCCCACCAAAAGCACGGGGAACACAATCAAACACGAAACACAAAAGTGGAAACCCCAAAGCACAGGCCAACATGTTGCGAACTAAACGACCATTTTTTCTTTGGCCCTGGCTCAAGCCATTGCAGTTTGTACATAGGGACCGGATGGGTGTGTTTTGAAACAGAACCCCGACTGAGTTTTGATCGGAGCTCTGCGATTGTCCGATCGATGCCTATCTTACACACCGTCTCAGGCCCAAGCGTTTTGAGAGGTGGAGTGCTGATGTTGACCCCGATCCAATAAACCAGAATCCTGTTTGGATGCTCTGTAGGATGTCAAGAACAGAGTACTAGAAAAGGAGCACCAGGGGCACACACACACACACCGTAAATTCCACAAAAGGCGCATCCGCCTGCCTGGGAAAATGCCACCAAGGCTTAAGACTCAAAACATGAACCCTCAAACTACCCATAAGAAAAAAAATGGCTATGGCCAAAATTATGCGGCGATTTCCCCTTATTTTTTGTTTTGTTTTTGGAATGGTAGTTTGAGGGTCCATACATAAAGGATCCATAACCATAACAACATAAGCGGAGATACCAACCTGAAACCTTTGGGGAACCCGAAAAAAACTGTCCGCGGCCTGATTGGCAGCCCTTCGATTCGACAGAAATGATCTAAGTTCCAAAACCTTCAAGTCCTTTGGAACACTGGGAAAAGTCAAAGGATTGCGGAAGTCCTTAGGAATCAACTATTGTGGAATTCCTTTTTCTAGGTCCTCCAGTAGAGAGGTTAGAATAAGGGTAGCCTTTTTGCTGTAGACAATTTTAGTAGGGGAACCCTCCCCCAAAAGCGGGGAGAGAAGGGCACTACTGGGGGACCTAGTTTGGGTTACCACATGGGGTATGCGGTACGTCCCCGCCGATCCGCATCGACAGCCGAGCATCGATCTGCGGGCATCCGAAGTAGTCATACCACACGTCCCAGTCAAGACACGCCTTTTGCTCCTGTCGGGGCCGCATACGCCGCATAGCCCAAGGCCGCAGTGCTCGAACTGAGTTCCATTTGGTTAAGACCCCTGGAAAAATGAGAAAATATGTCCAGTAAGTGATAGATTCCTTTTGAAACCAACAAGGGAAAATAATTTAAACAAATCTTATTCAGCAAATGGAAGCTTAGTTCCTTTGTGATAAATCTCCGTTCAATTGGGGGCCACTGACTTTATTACTCCAACCTCCGTAAAAAGGCTACTGGCTTCATCCTATGTTGAACCAAACAGAGGCGGCCAAAATAGTCTTTCTCAAAAAGGGATTCGGGCCCCTGAGATGGTTGGCTTGCTTTTGGCTTCCCTTCAAATGCCAAGCAAAAGGGGTCCACCATTTTGAGAAAACCTCATCAACTGTTTCTCATGGGCCTCAAAGAGGTCCTTTCAACTTCTAACTTCTAGTCATTAATGAAAACACATAATCCAGGAGTACACGCTTTCCGAGAGGATCCTCCCAAACTTTGAGTTGGATCTGTGTGAGGTGTGAGGTCAACATCAGGTTCTCCCACTCCCTGCAGCTTTCAAGCGGAAAATTGGATCAAAACGACATCGAACAATGTTCGACCCCCACTCGAATCTTGGATGTGAGCAACAACCAGTTGGCATACCCAACCAATAGCTACAGTTACAACAAGATTTCAAAAAGGAAATGGGTCCGCAACTGGAGGTCCATGTTTTGGCTGACTCACCACAAATAGAATGGGTGGGCTTGAACTGATTCACTTCAAGACCAAATTCAATCATGATCATTAGTGCGGGAGTGTGCATAATTGTTCAGGTTTTACAATTTTACTTGAGATGCCTCTGGGCTTCTCTAAGGAATGCGTGTCCTTGACCTCTGGAGCTTGTTCCACACCATGGGGATAAGGTCTCCCAATTCCATCTTCTCCAGGCCAGAGAACACAAGGCAAATGGTTTCCTATGGGTGTGTCCCAAAATAGGGGATCGTTTCCTTTCAGGGTCCTTTCAGAACCTTAAGACTTTAGGACAAATCAACTCGGCTTGTTCCTGGATAGACCCGCCAGTTCTCCTGGAAAACCATTGTCATAGGACTCAACCCTCCAGAGCAAATCAGCGAGAGTTAGGGAAGGAAGCCCCCATAAGACTTTGCCCAGGATGTTTGAGCGTCTGTTGCATTTCTGGTCATTCCGAACCAACATGTTCTGAGGAAATCCCAGTAAGGGTCAGTAAGGGATATAAGCTGGTAGTTCCCCCTTTCCACATCTTATGGCTCTGAATCCGCCCTATGTAACATAACTTCGGAGGAGACCCCAGACAACATTCTGTTCAAAACCACCTTCTCAGGGCAGATGGCCTGTTTTTTCATTGATTTTGAAAGGAAAGCCTTCCCAACACAAAACTGACGAAAGGGGTGGAACCATTGGATCGCGTCCTCGATGCTCATGACGGGAGTCCGCCGCCCGTTCAGCTCGCTGAGTTCTGAGGATGGATCCTGACGCAAACTCGAAGCTTCAAGACTTCAAATCCCCCCAGCAAGCAACACAACCCGAACCTACCCCCAATCGCCCAATACAAGCTAAATTTGCTTCATAAAAGTCACGCCCAACCCCCCTCGTCAACAGCATGCCCCCACAATCTCTCCAGCCCCCAGACCTGCGGAGACACTCAGACCAGCCCCTGAATTTGAGCGGTTTCGAGGTTTTGAGGTTGGGTTGCCCGGCGTAATTTACCCAGTGGATCCCAGTTGCAACTATACCTAGATCATCCGATTCCATCCGATGTGTAAAATTTCCGCCGTTTGCTGAAAAAGAACAAATTTCAGTCGTTTCATTTCAAATCTGCCGCTCCGATTGAAATGTGCTTGTTGGATTATTTGCTTACTTCCCTCCGCAAAAGCAAAGCGCTTATTTTAAACAGAAAGGAGGTCCCAGGTATACGCAGTTGGCAACTCTTCGCCATGTTCCTTTCGGTGTTGGACGGGGGTCAAGCCCTGAGAGACCTGCAACACCAGGCAAATGGATCTTCTGGGGAGACAAAAGCGGACAAACCCAGCAGTTTTTAGGGGGGAGGTCTATGTTAAGACACACCCTGGTTGTTCCCTTGGTTACAAACCCAAGGGAATGGAATCGCTTAAAGGAAGCGAACCTCAAGACCTCCATCCGGCAACCGCCCATGCTGCGCCTTGGAGACGCGGCAATTGCCCTGAGACATCTGAAGAAAGGCCTGGCGGTTTTCTCCCGGCACCTTTCCTGGATTGACCCATAGCCACGTCCTGGAACTTTTCATTTACCGAGAACATGGTCTTCCCAAGCGTATAGTCCAGGAACTCAGCCAGAAGAACACATAGTTTCTCCGAAGGACGTGGGGACGTTGGCGATTTGGTTGGTGCCATCCCCTGAATGTTGCGGGGAAATATGCGGTGGGTCCCTATTTCAAGGCTAGCAGCCAGCTGAAAATTCTAGATTTACCACAGCTCTGAATTTGTTCGGCATGTTGGCGAATCTCTTGGATTTCCTGCAGCTGGTGTCTTCAAAGGGGAACATAAACCCATCAAAAGAGGATCGTTGGGCCCCTCCCCCCCCAAGAAGAAAGTCGGGTAGGCCGTGTCATGGCTCTGTCTTGATTCCCCGCAACAAGTGCATGACTGTTTGCTGGGTTTGTGTTGGGAACTGTCATTGAGCCCAAATAGTTGAAGGTTCAAGGTCGGAACCAAAAAGAAAAAGCAAACGCGTGATTGTGACTGTTCAACGTGATCGAAACAGGAACCTGAATGACTCAACTGAATAGAGACCCCCTTCCTTTACGTGGTTGGCCGAGTTGGCAATGGTTGGCCCCTTTTCGCGTCCATTTCCCTCTCCAGAAGGGCGCAAACCCTGCTCTTGTCCGACAGTTACCCACATTTGGAGATATTCAGCGATGGGCAGATTTAGGCACATAGGATCTACAAGAAGCCTCTGTGTCAGCTTCCTCTAATTCGTGGCTTGGATTGGTGGTTAGGAGGTTCTGAGGGGTTTCTCATTTCCCCTGTACAAAAAGTACATAGGGGTGTCAAATATTATGCATTGGGGGCGGACATAATCATCCGGGGGGGGGGGGGGGGGGGGGTGAGGGGGGGGGGGGGCAAAACAGTGATCCACAAAACTAAGCAGAGCCCAGTAGGGACCCTGGTAGAAACATGGACACCTTTCAGGGGTTGGCCATTTCTTTGGAGCTTGCACACAAATTCTGCCTGCATTTGCCTAAACGTGGGCAATCAAATATCACCCACACACACACACACACACATCACACACCACACACACACACAGGCTCAGGTCATGAACTGCAGTATCAGGGTACACCACAAATTATGTGTCGCATGCTTCATATGTTTTTCGCCACCACTAAAATTTATAATCCCTAACCCCAACCCCCTACAACCCCTACCTCCCATTCCAGGCCGCTCCATGCCACTGGCCGCTCCACTGGCCTCCTGCAGCACCAGGAACTGCTCGAACTTCGGGTCCGGGTGTCTGGTGCCAGCCCACTGGTGGGAGATAAGCATCACCTCACACGACCAATGACGGACCTTAGGACTTCCATGTGGCTAAGACCCCTGAAAAAAATGAGAAAATATGTCCAGTAAGTGACAAATTCCTGTCAAAACCAACAAGGGGAAATTGACTAACTAAAACATACCTGGACCTTCCTACATGCTCAAAATTTCAGCCTTTTCGTTACGAATCGCCTTTTGGGGCACGAACACATCATTTTTGCCTACGGCCTTTTTCATGCTTTCTGTGGGATCTTGTGGGTATTGAGAGGATTGCTGAATCTCTGGGCATGCGTCCTTTGCCGCCAGGTGCTTTGTCGGCAAATGCCGCTCTGTGATGCCCTGCCCCAGCCCTCGCCACGGTCCTTTTTTCTCTCGAGCGGGGCAACATTGGCACACCACCCCCAACTAACTGCACAAACTCTTGCAACCTTTGCTCTAGACGGCGGAGCACCAAGTTGGTGAGTTCAATTGTGTGCCTGAGTTTGAGGGTACCTTTTTTCTTTTGTTGTTTTTGCTTATCATTTTTTAGGGGAGGGGTGTTCAAAGGGAACCCAAAGGAAATCAATCCTGTTGTTTTGGGGGTCCCATTTGAAACATATCCGACTAGTTCCCCTTCATCAGAGCAATGCCCCGGCATCGGTGAGACGCGCACCGCCGCCATTCTCCATGTCGGTGCCTGACATCGGACGGCCAAGTGACCCTGCTTTGCTCAGGGCCGCAAGCAGATTGCGGGTGGGACTGAGCAAGGCCGTGACACATGCGTAGCTACGCACCGTGTTGAGCTGTTTTGGTCAAGCTATACTCGGCTTACTCGGTTTGCTTCGGGGGGCTGCCGTCAGCATGGCAGAGAATCCCCGCCCTTTCGCCAGAGGGGCGCTTGCTACCGCATGGGAGGGCGAGCCCTCTCTGCGGCAGCGTGTCCAAGAGACTGCAGCGCCATACATGGCCCGCTGGATAAGGCAAGAAGCAGTAGGGGTGCCCTCGGTGAAGGCCATGTGCTTAAACGTGGTCGCTCTGGAGGCCATGGCCCGCGTGTGGTGCCCAGCCATGGCCTACCCCAAGACAATTCCAATAGGGATCATGCGGGAGGAGGCTGGGATTTGAAATCAACAATTGGGGTTAGATTGGGCAGGTTCTTTCCAAACTGGTTGCTTGCACGCTGCTCCGTGAGTTGTTATTTTGAGCATGTTGTTTCACAAGCGTTTGCTTGTCTGTGTGCGCGTGTGAGCATGTGCGTTTGCTGCGTGTGTCAACTTTGCTTGTGGCTGGCTGGCTGCTTGTGTGGTTGGTTGGTTTGGTTGGTTGGTTGGTGGGTTGGTTGGCTGGCTGGCTGGCTGGTTTGTTGCTGGTTGGTTTATTGGTTGGCGGGCTGGTGGGCTGGCTGGTTGGTTGGTTGTAGTTGGACGGTTGGTTGCTTGCTTGTTTGCCTGCCTGCCTGCCTGCCTGCCTTGCTTGCTTTCTTGCCTGGTGGGCTGCTTGCTTGGTTCCTGGCTGGCTGCTGACTGGTTGGTCGGTCGGGTGGTTGCTTGCTTGCTTGCTTGCTTGCTCGCTGGCTGGCTGGCTGGCTGGTTGGCTGGCTGGCTGCTTGCTTGGCTGGCTGGCTGCTTGCTTGCTTGCTTGCTTGCTTGCTTGCTTGCTTGCTTGCTTGCTTGCTTGCTTGCTTGCTTGCTTGCTTGCTTGCTTGCTTGCTTGCTTGCTTGCTTGCTTGCTTGCTTGCTTGCTTGCTTGCTTGCTTGCTTGCTTGCTTGCTTGCATGCTTCCTTGCTTGCTTGCTTGCTTGCTTGCTTGCTCGCTTGCTCGCTTGCTCGGTTGGTCGCGGTCGGTCGGTTGGGTACGGTTGGTTGGCTGGCTGGCTGGCTGATTGGTTGGCTGGCTGGCTGGTTGGTTGGTTGGTTGGTTGGTTGGTTGGTCGGTTTGTTGGTTGGCTGGCTTGCCCGCTAGGTGAGTGACTTCAGAAAAATGCTGGGGAAGGACCTGGGCATAGCCAACGTGCATCTGGATGCGTCCGGTCTAAAGGCGCTGTTCAGCAGGGGAGTCCGGCGATTTTGCTCCACAGTCACAACCACGAGGGTTCTTCGGTCTGCGGTAGCAAGTTTTACTTTTGTGGTCCACTCATTAATTTCCCTAAAAAAACAACGTATTCATGCCTACTCAGGCCCCAGAGCTCGAGGGCTTCTTTGGCATCATGGGCTTGCATTGGGTGGAGGCTCAGGGAGACCAGGCTGACGACTCGGAGGACGAGCCTGCTTCTGTGGTCAAGGATGAGTATCCTGATCCTGAGGCAGCAGTCGAAGAGGTTCCCGCTTCTTCGCATGTCCCTCCTTCTGCTGCCGCCCCTGCCGCTAACAGCCCCACAATTCCCAATGTGGAGCTAAACCCCGCGCTGCGCCGAGATGACTCTGCAGCAAGAGAAGCAGCGGTAGCAAGGGCTACGTTTCTCCGGTTCCTTTCCTAAAACGTTAAGGAGGTAATCGATAGATTGTCATCGCCCGAGACCCTGCAAAAACATGTAGGGCCTTCGGCTGAGGCTGATGCTCACCCAGAAGCGCTCCACGAAGTCCAAGCCTGAGACGCCGGCGGTTTCCGGCTGCCAGCCATCAGCACCCATCAAATCTTTTAGATCGCCCTTGTTGTGCGAAACTGTTTTCCTTTTAGGTTGGCCCCTTGGCTTCCCCAAGCAATGTGCCTTAGGCATGGACAACATGGACACCCTTCCTATGGACACTAGCACCCTGGCAGACGCAGAGCCGGCCTCAGCCAGCAAGGATGCTGGCCCACCCTCACCCACGGACCTCATGAAGGCGCGGACCTTGCTTTTGGGGGAGTGCCTTGACAATGAGAGGGGCGGCAGCGAACAGGGTGAGGTAATCACCCAGGCGGAGGCGCCAGATGCAGCAGTGAGCAACGCGGGCAAGGAGCCGGGAGATGCCGCGCAGGTGGTGCCAGGCCACGCAGTGAGCAACGAGGGCAAGGAGTCGGGAGATGCCACGCAGGTGGTGCCAGGCCAAGCAGTGAGCAACGAGGGCAAGGAGTCGGGAGATGCCACGCAGGTGGTGCCAGGCCAAGCAGTGAGCAACGAGGGCAAGGAGTCGGGAGATGCCACGCAGGTGGTGCCAGGCCAAGCAGTGAGCAACGAGGGCAAGGAGTCGGGAGATGCCACGCAGGTGGTGCCAGGCCAAGCAGTGAGCAACGAGGGCAAGGAGTCGGGAGCTTCCCCGCAGGCGGCGCTGAGCAACGAGGGCGAGGAGTCGGAAGACGCCGTGCCCCGCCAAGTCAGCAACGAGGGCAAGGAGTCGGGAGATGCTGCGCCCGAGCAGGCGACCTTAAAGGACGAGGAGGAGCAGGAGCTGCAAGCTCCAATGGTCCGCAGAGACGAGCAGCAGGCCTTGAAGAAGTACTTGGACACGAAGGACCGAGTTGCTACAACTTCTACGGAAGCCAAAGAACCGGGGCGTGGGCGAGGCCGCGGGCGCGGCGGCGGCAGGAAGGCGATGTCTCCGGCAGGGCGAGGGCGCAAAGGCAAGCGACAAGCCAACAAGCAGGCCACGGTTGAAAACTCGCCCAGCAAGAAGGCCAAGGGCGAAGCAGGGCAGGACAGCCCAAGAACTCCTGGCAATGAAGGCTCGCTCCTGCAGCCCCGGAAGCTGGACCAAGACTTGCAGGTAGTTGCCAGTAGCGCCAGTGAACATGGGGATGATGAGAAGTCTCGCAAGACTCGGGCCAAGGCGAAGTCCGCCCCGAAGCAGAAGGCTGCCTGTTCCAAGAAAAGAGCTGCCAAGGCGAAGGCTGCCACCTCACCGAAGCTCGCATGCAAGAGCAAGCCGAAGCCCGAGGTCAAGGAGGCTCCTGCGGACAAGGAGGCTGGCAAGCGAGAAAAGCGCGGCGGGCGTGGCGGGGGCAGCGAGAGGCTCTCTTTCGCCGGTCGGCGCCCGCCCAAGACAGGCCCGGCCTTGGCTCGGTTCCACGTGCTGAAGAGGGTCTACAACAAGGACATCCGTCCTTGCATGGCAAAGGATTGCGAGAGCAGCGGCGAGGCGCGCGCGCCCTTTTTTTGATGTGCATGCATTTTTGCTTCGCGCCAGTTCTTTCCAGAGTTGTTGGCCAGGGTTTGCAAAACCACCAAAAGTTGGAGCTAAAGCCCCTGACCCCAAACACAGTGTCGACCTTGACTTGGCCCGTGCAGTACTGGTGGTGGGACTTTGCGTTTCCGGCCCTTTTGGCCCACCCCGAGAAGAACGAGGAGCAATACCAGGACATTGCCGCCCGCCACTTGACCAACTTCAAGGCGAGCGAAAAGTACGGATCCTTGTCTGCGTTCGGACCAAGAAGTTGCTTAGCACTGCGGTTGCCTGCTCGAACAAGGGGTTGGTCCAACGCAGATTTCACCAAAGCAACACGGAGATATCAGTCACCTGGTTCAGGCGCCCATCATCAAAAATCTCTCAGCCCACACCTGCCTAAATTCTATTTTTGGAAGAAGTGGTCTTATGATGCACCAAAGATTCGCGATTCTCGTGGCTTCGACAGGGTTGTCAGAGTCATTCCCCACCATTACACTGAGCGCCCCTTTCAAACTTTGTTGGGCCAAAGTTGGGAGGGGAGTGTTTCAAGGGTGAGGGAACCATCCAATCTTCGCCTGAAGTTAACTAGACTTGGACCGCCTGGACCCGCGTTTTCGCTTTGAAAACCGAGCGAAACCTAAAACCGAGCGAAACCGAGGACAGTACTTCAAGTGAGCGCACCACTTTTCAAGCCTAGAATCCGGGGATGCACACTGAAACTGTGTGCGTGGACCGCTTGGGGGAGTGCTAGCTACTACACGTGGTGGTCTGTGAGGCTTAGCGATTCACGCAGCAGCTGGTGTGATTTTCACACGCACGCAGGATGCCAACCGTGCAGGGTTTCAGTTTTGACCAGCTCTGCGTACTTCTTGCCTCCTAGTCAGCCGGGCATCCGCAGTTCAAAAAAGGTTTCGCTGCCAAACGTGTCACTCGTTCACGCCTAGAGAGAGA